AAGCCGTATCTCCTATTATAGTAAGTCACGATAATAACGATAATCGCGCCATTCTTATGTGAATATAGAAAATAGCGAGGCTTATAGTTAACATTTATTATAAATGCAATTAATGAGATACAAAGAGAGAGGATAAATGCTAACAACAAAGAAAAGCACATTGATTGAACCTGAGAATAGGTGGTTATCGTGAACATAATGAGTATCCGTGATATCAGCTGGATGCTAAATGTGTTCAGGAGGACGTCTCTGGGGCAATAACTGGAGCTGATTTCTGATCGATCAGAAATCCGGTTCGATAGCCGAACTCGGGGAAGCATCGTCGCATCACACTGTCCCATTCCGCTCTTTTTACATCGTTACTGAAATCGTTGGCATGAAATGCTTATACCTTGAATGAGTATCACAAGGTTGGTTAGGTAACCCAAGCCGGTCAGCTTCTATGAAAAATTCTGGAAAAAAGATTTTTATACAAGATTTTCTCCCTTTTTTTGAAGCTCACCCAGATGCCTGTTTCGAAGCAGGCCAATGTAGGAAAACAAATTCAGGGATTGAAATTTCATTCAGAGATTATTTTTATTATACAAGAAGTGTGATTCCTCTGCGTCTCTAACATACCGTAACACCTGCTTCTCTGAGCCTTTCCAAACCCAGCGATTTTCCCTACACTGGGATCATCAATCGTTCTTCACAAAGGCTCCGCCTTTTCGAAGATTTCAAAAAAAGGATGGTAAGACAGGGTGAACTGGAGCAAAACAGATGCTCAATATACACAGGGATTGATTAGATCGATGTTGAAAGTTCGAGTGAGATTCTTCTTGAAGGAGGCTAGAGCTACGGTGAGTAGATATAATTCTAGCAACACTTTGGCATCAATCCAACGAGTCGAATAGACTTCGTGGGTTTGCCCTTGATCCTAGAAATTTCCACACCCAATAGCCGATTACTGCTCTTCGAGCAGCTTCTCGAAACTGTGTACCTTCACAATCGTTCAGAATCGTCTTTTTTCACGTACCCTCCCTTTCAAAAAAGGAGAAGAGGTGATTCGCAGTGATAGCTGATTTTTGGTAAATGATAGTTGTAATTAGTGACAACTGATAGAATACAACTGCAACAGGCTAATCATTTCATTGGCAGAAAACATTACATTTTGTGAAGGCCGTCGTCACTTGTGGTGTATGGTCTGCACCTCGACGCTCTTCTCGTTTTTGAAAGGGAGTGAAGCTAGCAGGACTCAACTTATTGCTCTACCATCTTGCGACTGAGAGCATATAATGGTTCTCGAGTAAAGGCTGATAATGAAGAAGAGGACTCGAAGCGAATCAATCCCGTTTTGGGTTGAGCCACGCATTTACTTCCATTTGGAATCGAGTGGCACTTGAATGCGACTCGACCTATACAATGACTTGCTGGATCAGCAAGTACAAGTCAATGTTGTTATCCTCATGGATACCTACTTTACCAATTGATCGAACCAGAGCAGGCATGGAAGGCTCGAGAGGCATGGAAGGCTTGGTTAACCTTAGCGGCGTACGATTGAGGTTTTGATCGTCAGGTCGTGCGCGCCGTAAGCAGCGTCACTTACTACTACTCTAATTCTACCCAGCAAAGCCAATATAGGGGAACATCTCCGATAGTGTGGCAAAGAAAAGCGCAAGTGTTTGGTGAGCTCTGCCTGGAGATGCGGTGCGTATTCGCCCTCCCTTCAAAGTTGTAGTGATGTTTGAAGAAGCTCCAGTCTTGCGCTGGACAAGTGTATGACATGTGGGGTCCGATCGATGTACAAGTTGGCATTTTACCTCCCAAGATGGGTAAAACCAAACAACAGGTCCCGAAAAGCTGGGAGGCTTGGTTGGTCTAGTAAGACTCGTTCTGGTCTAGTAAGACTCGTTCGTTTTTGGTCTAGTAAGACTCATTCTAGGACTAGATCTCTAGATCGAGCGTT